TTTTTACTACTTTAAATTATGAATAATTCATCATTTTTCTCAGATGATGACTTGTAATAGATGACTTGTAATAAATAACTTGTAATAAAAAGTAATTCGAATAGGGTCGTGTTTGGGCTCGTTTTCCGCGGGAGGATCTCAGCTATCCGTTGATGATACTCTCGTGAAAATTCAATGCCAAATAACTTATGTATTATAATATAATACGGTCTTTATTTTCCGTCCGATTTTTATTTTAATTTGAACTTTAGTAACATACTGTGACGTGAATACGTGCATTTTTCAACTGAGTTTAAAGTGGAACCAAAATGATAATAATTCGACTGTAATATAGGAGTTTTGTTAAGTAAAGTTTCTCAGGGTTTCGTAGAAGGTGGAGTTTGAGAAACACTGTGTCAGAGTATCAGGAGAGTCCGTGGAGGCTCGAAAGTGTGCAAATAGAGCGAGTGAAGGGGTTGCGGGCCACGGTGGACGAGTTCAACTTCCAACTCTTGTTCTAAATTATAGCGCGCGCCATTGGCGAGGAACGGTTAAAGGCAATTGGCAGACCAGCGACACGGCTTGCGAAATGATTTCGATTCGCTGGCGTACACGGTTTGTCTGAAAAGCGACCGAATCTTTTCTAATCGATCGTTCTAATCGAATCGGTGGAAAATTTGTCGCTGTACCCATTAACCCTGTTCCCAAAATGGAAGAGCATATTTGAATCCAACGCTCGAACCAACCACCGAAACCCTTTCGGGCAAAAATTTACGAGCCGCTCCCGACCGCAGCGAAACTTTCTCCGTTTTCCATTTCACGTATTCTTTCGGAACGGCCAAGGCCTCTGATTTTTTTTCCCCCCTCCTTTTCTCAACGGCTTATTTGCGAGCGATGCCAGAACCAGAATTCATACGGCCCATTCGAGCATTATTATGCATTGTTACTGCCGGGAGCGACACGAAGAAGTCCGCTTTCAATGCATCCAGACCGTGGCCGTAACGTGGACCGCCATGAGTGTCGCGACAGGGATGAACAATGAGCCCACTCCCGTGCCCCTTCGTTCCTGCCCTGGGCTACCGGTTGTCTGTCGAAAAACTTATCCTGTTTTCGTCGGAAATTTCAATTCTCGAGAAATCCCGCTGCTGCTCCTTGATTACCCTAAAACAGTCCAGGAAACGCAGCTGAAAAGAAAAGAATTTTCAAAGAGGCGTCATTTTTTATTTTTTACTCGAGAAATTTCACCGTGGGAAGTTTGAATATTCTCAGCGCACGGAGTGTACAGGAATTATTGGGGCTACTAGTCGCGACCGTGACTCCCAGAACTTCGGTTCTTCCACCGACTGCCGAACCTTTCAAACGACCTGCACGAGAAATCTCGAACAAAGGAGGGATTTCGGTTTCGAGATGGAACGAGCTTTCGCTCGTACGGTCCAGCTGTTTCTGTGTCCGTCATAAAAACTGGTGCGTGGCACTCTACATTGTAGAATCCACAAGCCAGCTCTTTTGTCTTTTTCTCTTTCTTCGCGCGGCACAACTCCCCGCCGACACTCTCTGTGCGCGATAATTTCCATTCTGTATCATTCCAGTAATTACATGCTTCTTCGTGGAACCCTCTTACTCCTGTCTCCAAAAAGGGGATGACTTCCTGGAGGGTAGTTGGTTCTTTCCACCTGAGAGATAAACTTTTTTTTCTTTATCATTGTTTTACCAACCCAAGGATACACGTACTCGAGAGTCAACGACCAACGTAAAAGGTCCAGATTGGGTACATCGCTGAAGCTAGTTACGAAACTATAGAATCTATTCTACAGAATCGAACCAATAGAAATCAGCCGAATAAACTGTGTATTTGGAAACGGCGGAGCAACGAATCGTTCAGGCAGCTTTCAGGCAGCTACCCGCTGACGTAACTCCGAATTAATTCGGTTCAAGCAACAGGCTCGTGCCACCGTCGCCATGAGAAAGTTAAGTAACCTGTATCAGGTACCTTTTCTCTCTGCTCGGAACGCTTGACAAAAATCGGCCGTCTCGTGGAGCGCTTTCGAGCGTCTGACTTCCGTTTAGTCTCCTACGTCCTGAATCCTTCCTCACTGGATAAGAAAAACGTTCACGTGCCTCCCCGGTTATTTGAGATTCAACCAATGCGGTCGAATCAAAACGCCGCGATACCGAAACTGTTCTATTCGCGACAGTGTGTATTATTTAATTCAGCGTTGAGATTTTTTGACGTTTGTTGAGTTTTTTCATATAACCGTAGCCACGCGGAGAATATTCTCTTCGACGAGAAGAATTCACGACCGCGGAGGTTAACGAAGGGAAGAGGAGAACGTGCTTCGCCGCGTTAATGTGAGCTTCGTCGTTGCTTTTTGGTCGAACAAAGGACGCAACTGGTTTGAAAGGCACGGACGCCGCTTATGGGACGCGAAGCGACTGTTCTATGGTGACATCGGGATCACAGCTGCCACCACTTACGATTTCCTCGAGCAAACCTCGAGCAGACGTTTGCTTATACATACTAAGAATTCTTGAGACCATTTGGACGTCGAACGGGGGCCCTGATTGATTCGAAAATAAACAAACATCTTCTTCTGTACAGCGGCCGTTAAGTAGCGCACGACTCACGATGTGGATATTTCTTAGTACAATTTTATTGGTAGTCTTAAAATTATTTGTCAGTTTTGCGAATATCATACAATTACCTACCGTGACAGAGGTATAACGCGCAGGGCGATAAAGTAAAGATTCCTCGGGGTAAAGTGAGTCGAAGGTATGGAATAACAACGTTTTCATTTGACCCTTCGTTTTCAGGAAAGCCAGCTTGGTAAGATCTCAGGTACGCGCGCGGTAGACAAAGGAACATCAGTGGTTCTCGATACCAGCCCTTCCAGAAAGAAGACAAAATTTTATTGAAATAAAAGATGACGAATCGCCGTCTTGGAATTGTATTATATATTTTCATACGTCGAACGAAAATGTTAAAAAAGTACTTTCGCTATGACATGCTTACTGGTTAGATCACTGAGAACCCCTGAAGTTGATAGATTAAATACGAAACGAATCCGAGGTATGAAATGTAAACAAAAAAAAAAAAAAAAAAAAAAAAAAATAAGCACATTCGTAAAGATAACGTTCCGTTTAAATTAATTATCTTCTTTGAAGTAATGTACGAAAAAATTATCGTGATATACCACTGGTCTCTGTTAATTTCGCCAGTGGATTCCCTGTAGACGACGCCCAGAGCACGGCATGCAACGCCAGACACCGTGGAAGCGTCGTCGACGCGAAAAGGAAAAAAGGAGAAAGAATGAAAAGCATAATAGAGTTTACATGGCACTCCTCGCGTGCTCTGGGGCGAACGAGACTCAGGGACGTTTTTTTAAGGGGGTCAAGGGGACCCTGCGCCCCGGGGCCGTCCTTATTAACGGTGACCTCTCCGGCTCGAAATTTCAAAATTTCTTACGAAAAGCCCTGACACGTTCTGTTTTCACCGACACTTCGTCTTCCCCCTCCCTCCCTCCCTCCCTCCCGCCTATCCTCCATGTCGTCGCAGATGTTTCCTTTTCTAATTGTCGACTCAACACCGTGGACTTCGATTCGTTTCGGTTCGAGAGGGAGAAAGTTATTCCAGTCACGACGCTAACATATGGACACGTATACCTTAGTTTAGGGTTAGACGTACACGTGATACGTGACTCAAATCGTTGCGACGCCATTGTTCCATTATTTGTTAACAAAAGCTTTGTTACGTATCGCAGATGTATTATTACAAAAACGAAAAAAAAAAAAAAAAAGAATGTTCATCGAATGGAAATTTCAACGTATAGATTGGTTGCGTTCATTGGGAATCGAACGATATCCGCGGATACCTAACCTAGCATCGCGTGTATCGGTGTGTAATTCGCGCAACCTCAAATTTGCAACCGGTGCACACGATTGCATAAACCGCTGCCTTTACTGCAGTCGCGATCGCGGTTAATTGAATACTTTATGCCGACTCCGATGAACCGTAATAAACACGTTTCTTCCTGTTATTAACGCGAATTAAAGAATCAATTTCGATCCGAAGAGTTTCAGAGGTCGAGCGCGCCTTCACCTGTCGATCATTAAGGCGCTAAAAATGGAAAACGTCGCGCGAAATGTATCGCGAGATTTTTGCGCGTTGAAAAAATTTCGTTGAAATATTGCTCGTTTCTGTCGATGTATTACGTGTACCGAGAAGTAATGTCGTTTCTTTTACATCGAATTCGGACAAATACATTCGTAATACATTTCTATTTTTAATCGATTGTGTAATTATCCTCGTTATCAACAACCTTTTGCCACTTAGTGTGCAAATATTCGATACTAAATGGTTAAGAATCAATGTGTCGATGAATGATAAAGAGGTATTGAGATTCTCAGAAACGACGTTACTTTTTGGTTCACCTGATATATAGATGTTAGCAGTACATAATCGAATTAGTCTGATTGCTAGTGCACGATATATGGAACGATGATTATTTTCTCTCTCAACTGTTGAAACGATCCCAGATTTTGCGCGTTGAAATATTGCTCGTTTCTGTCGATGTATATATGTATAGGTGTTAGTAGTACGTAATCGAATTACTCTGATTGCTAGTGCACGATATATGGAACGATGATTATTTTCTCTCTCAACTGTTGAAACGATCCCGGTATTGTATCAGTTTCGCGAGCCAGTATTCTCTCACAATGTCACGATCGTCGTGCGTGATTCCGGCACGACGTCACGGTCCCATTGACGCCGACCCCAGGCCACCTTAAACACCCATAAAACATTTTCGTGACCTCTTTTTCACGTAATTCGACGAACGGGAGGCTTGTTCTCCGTTTCCGGTGACATGAAAGCGCCGATACCCAACCGTCGAAGGAACCTTTCACACGATTCTATTATCTCTGAATTCGTAAATGTCCGCGCGTTTCATTACCGATACGAATGCACCCGTCTACGCACGGTTACGAGCTGCATGAATAATTGTATTCTACTTTGTTGTCTTAAGGTACTCGTGAAAGCTCGTAAACTACGGAGCCAGCACTTTGCTCGCTTTCAGGCGTGTCGGCGTTGCTGGTTTGCATTTACCAGGGAACGTAAGTATCGGAAGATTCATCGGTGAATATATTTTTATACTTCTAAATCGAGAGCACGGCACGAGTGTACGCGGACGTCCGAGTCGTTCGCCGATGAAGCGTTTCGGCGGTGTGTTAACGTATGGCAGCATAGTTCATATAATTTTGAAGCAGTATGCCAGAAAACACGCATTCCCGAGCAGGAGTTTCCTGTAGGAGGGAGCCTTGGGTACCCGGCGGTGAACCATCGGTTCTAGCACGGACACGAGGTCGCGGCGGGACACGAGTCCCCCCGAAGCGTTGCGCGAGAACGGCCGAACCGTGACGAAAGCGCACGAGGCCGCGACTACGGGGGTGGGGACTCGCTGACGCTCAGTAGCTTCGCTCAGTCGAGCCAGCGCCGTGATCGGAGTTGGAATAGTGACTGGGCCGGACTGGTGTCCCGAGCAGGCGTACAAGCTCCCTGCGGTTCTAGTCGTTCTTCAATCACGCGCGCCACGAATCAATTTGCTCGGCTGGCGAGGTCGTGCATTCGAATACGGTGTCGCTTCTTCTCCCGTTAACGCTGGTACGCCTCTGCTATAACCGTTCGAGCACGTTCGTCGATTCTCGGTTCCGTCGTTGCCGTGTTCGACCGTCGCCCCGTAATTGACTGTCGCGTACACCTATTCTTTTCGCGAGGCCGACACGGACCCAACGGGAGTGAAAATGCGGTAGTGACAGTGTGATTGCATCGAAGACAGGGGTAAGAAGGGAATCCCTTTTGGGTACGGTTTTGTAGGCGCGAGGACGCCACGAGTTTACTCGAGGAGAATCGAAGTGAACGGGGAAAAAAGATATCAGGGAGAGAGGCTCCTCGAAGCCAGGCCCCGGAAGTTATGACGAGATCGTGTGTTCGAGGACGAGGAATATACGTGCATGTGTCCAGTGGGATATAGTGCCGGCGATAAAGCATTCTTTCCAGATTTGGATACCTCGCTCTCGACACCTACGGGACCTGGATTATCTCATGTCAGGATGGCGCTGGCGCGGTACGTACTTTCTGCACTACACTCGAACCTCGACGTCAGGGTGGGTCTTTGGTCGGGTAATATTTGTTTTCAAAATTTACTAAGGCCGGAAACACCGATCGCTACGTGGCTATCGAATGGCGTGCTCGATTAGAACGGTTGTTTACTTCGAACAAAGATCAGCAATCTTTGTTGTTCGAATATTTCCATTCGTGCTTTGACTTCGTTACTAGAAATACTATATACTCCGTTACACAGTCAAATAATATAGACAGATTTACTTATATCACGAGTCTTAGCTTGTTAGAGCGATCGTCGTTGACGAAAAGTCACGGTGTCACTTACATTACGTTAAAAGAAATATATATTTCTCTTAAATTCGTTTGAAGGTTATGTGTACGAGTTCAATTCGGTTAACAAAGTCTCGTCTAAACGTATTTCATTTATATTCATTTATATCCGATATGGCCGAGTAAAATAGAGATCGATTTCCTATATTTAATTTCGCAAGTACGTTCAACGTGTATTTATTTTTCTTTACAATTGCCGTGTTATTAAGTGGCTCTATTGATCCGACACGACCGCGTATGTATCGCGACCAGAGATTCGAAATATTTCGCTAGTTTTTCTTTAATCAATCGTAACATTGGCGCGAATCGAGTCGAATCGAGTATTCCGATCGCGTACGACAACGAATAACGCCTTTTTCGCCGATAGTTACCGGTGTCCCATTGTTTATGAAGTATTCTGCCGCAGATGCCGGTATCTACCATAGAGTGCGCACTGGTCAACGACCCATCCCTGCCAGTAACTATAGTCGCTGATTTAACAGATTTATACGCGAGTCTTCGCAACCGTATCCTACAACTGTAGATCTTTATGACATTTCAGAAGAACGAGTCCTTGTATCTCGTAATCTCTATCGAGCCGAAATTTTGGAAGTTTGATATATGTACGAAAGAATGTTTGCGTACCAAAACTTGATCGCTTATAAGGAAGACGTACAGGAACGAAATGTCGCAATTCGACCGAAATATTCATTCCAGTAAGTACCGTAGAATCCGTAGGGTCACCTTGATCGGTATTTACACGGCTGTCGAGAGTCGGTTGGAAGCGATGCGTACCCGCTGGAGTCGTTATTAATTTGAAAGTTCTTGGTCAAGTCGCTTGCGTGGCGAAGGAAAGACGTCAAGGTTAATACACCTTTTTACGTTGAGCCGACCTTCCTAGTCCGATGCGGGCTCAGTCACGGTTCGACAATCCGCCTTTATACTGAAACGTTTGACCGTGAATACGAGTCGATGGAATTCAAACGTAGAAATAGTAACGACGCGTCGTCTTCCGGGCTCTAAAAATTCTTTCGCGCGTCAAATATATTTTTCGTACGATTCGTGCGAACGACGTTAACGTAGATTAAAATTTCACAAGCGAAAACGGAAATCCTCGAATCTCTTGAAATACATTTCGCGTTCAAAAATGTTTTACCCGAACGGAATTTTAAATTCGTGTTCCCTTTTTAGCACCTCATTAATATCGAACGATTCTTTAACAAATTAAATAATTCGAGACAGCGATTTCCAGAACGAACCACAGTTTCGCTAACGATATTCCAGCGTGGTTAATTATTTATCTCTGTTCGAGATGTAATTGACAAAAGCAATTTTCCGTTAAATCAGGAACCGTCTACGAAATTAACGATCATGCTTATTCGTTCGCGACGCTGTTTGTGTACCGTTTCCTATGACTTTCTCTGTCGAAGCTTTTTATCAGCGCGATATCACGCGGCGGTAAACAGCCTTCGCTCATATTTATGTTCGTGCACGATCGAATCGTGACGGGGCTGGCAATGAAGCTTTCCACCAGCTTCGTGTCCCTTTGAAACCAGGGCTGTATTTATTTTTTATTTGTAGAACAAAATAAATTCCTATTTAGGTTCAATTTTTAACCGACTTCGAAAAGGAGGAGGTTACTCGATTCGACATGTATATTTATTTATTTTTTTTGTAGGCGTGTTCGTGAAGATTTTATTTCGCATAAAGATTCGCAGTCTAGTAATAAGTATTCGTACAGGAACCGATTTAAAATAAAACTTCATATATATTTATTTTATTAATAAATTTCAAGCGAAGAAATAATTGATCAACATTCCTAGATAT